GATGAATATTTAACATGCATCTACCATCATATTATCATACAAATCATTTTCACAGTCCTAAAAATCCTCTGTACACCACCTTTTCATAGCTCTCTCCTAATTGCTGGCAAACATTGAACTTCGTATTGTCTCCAAAATTTTGCCTTTTCAAGAATGTCGTAAATTCTAAGCTATATAATATGTCAATTTTTTAGATTGTCTTCTTTTACGTAGTACTTTACCTTTAGGGTTCCTCCTTGCTTTGTCATGGTTTGATAGATCATATTTTTTAGCATTGAGTAATATTCCATTGTCTGGTTGTACTATAGTTTATTTATCCTTTCATGTACTGAAGGATGTTCTGGTTGCTTCTAAGCATTGGCAATTATGAATGAAGCTGCCATAAAAATCCATGTGCTCCTTGTGTGAACGTAAGTTTTCAATTCCTTTGGGTAAATACCAAGAATCATGATTGGATCATATGGTAATTAAGTTTAGTGTTTTAAGGAACTACCACATCTCTTCCAAAGTGGCTATACCATTTTGCATTACCTCCAGCAATGAAGATTAGTTCCTGCGTCTTCATGCATTCACCAGCACTAGAATTTGCCAGTGTTCTAGATTTTGGACCCTCTAAAAGTTGTGCCATGGTTCCACAGACATTTAGTTGAAAAGACCTCAGTACATCAGAAAATTAGTCTCCGTAGGTATCTCTTTGAGCCAAAGGTGTTACGACCAATGAAGCCTTCATTAACTAAGCAATTTGGGAGGCCTTGAGAGAGAATTTGAATAGATATTAAGTGCATCAACTTTTAAAATGAGGGTTTTGCCTTTTCAAGTCAGTGAATATTTTACCATCTTAGATTGCTTTTCAATTATCTTTGGTTACCTCCAGCTGATGAATTTGCCCTTTAACCTCCCACAACGTTGTTAATATAATGCTTTTATTTTTAATCTTAACAAACTTAACATTTCACTTTCTGATTAAAATTTATATTTAGAATTACCTTCCCCATGCTTCCCATATGTATTTATTTTATCTATTGACTTTGTTTAATAGGGAGAACATGTAAGATTCCAAATGTTATTTCTGTCTTCAAAAAGGGTGGGGGGGGGGTTTCAAATACTAATAGCAGATTTGTTTCTGTCCTGTATTTTTATTTTTCTGTGGTCTCACCATAGTGTTTAAATGTGCATTTACTTTAATTCAGCTTTCTTGGGCCATTTTTAAAATCAACTACTAAAAAATTATTATTCATTTACTCTATCCATGCTTCCTCCTCCTCATTTTCTTGAAATTTTTATTCTGAAGTTTCTGTTAAATGTATGTGGACTATCTAATATCATCCTTAATATCCTTTACACTTTTCATATGTTACTCTTACTAAATTGCATTATATGTGACTGCCTAGAATGGTTTCTCCTAATTGACTGATGCCCTCTTCATCTATGTCTAATTTTGCTGGTCAAACAGAATATTAAATTCTAATTCCTAACAGTTATTCATTGTCTGAAATCATTTTATAATAATAAGTAATTAGGCTTGCATTTGCTGGGGCAAGGACCCTCAGTCACCATAGGGTATTTTCTCCTATCCTCACTTGTTTGACATTTTAAATCACAAGGCAATATTTAGACAGACGTATTCTGCGGAAATTCCTAGTTGCCAGATCAAGGCTTGTATTTTCAGAATGTCTTTTTAAATGCTTATACTAGGCATCCTAGGAATATCATCAGTTCTGAATTAACTTTTTGTTAGTTTTACCCAAGTGGCTACCAGACCAGGTAAGTAGTATAAATTAGAATCCCAAACACACAATAGGCACAAAGCCACAGTTTTTAAATCCTTAAGATAAACATTTTATTTTTCTCTAAGCAATCTATGGAGAGCCGAGTTGGAAATGTGCCATACGTACGTTTCAAAAATGTATTTCTACTTCATGTTTTTGTTTAATATAGAAGATCTTTTAAGGGTACACCTTCCTATTCAGCTGGAAATTCATCATAAAGATTCAAAGGCTTGCGCTATAGTGGGCATTAAAGCCCACTTAACCAAGCCTCTAGGTTACAAAGATGAATATTTCCTCTCAGCTCCTCACTAAAGGAAATCCAACATCAACTTTCTCATTTACCATCTTTCATGGCTTTTATCAATAGGAAAGTACTTGCTCTCTCTCAAAATATTTTCTGGACTCAAAACAGTACTTTGTGTTGAAAGACTGTTTATAAATGTTTATAATAGGCATTTTTTCAAGTTATTTAATCTCCCACATTTCCAAAAAGTTATAATTTAATCAAGAAACATTTTTGCAAATTTTACATTTGTCAACTGTGCTAGAAAATAGGAAGGCCCTACTACTATAATAAAAATACGCAGCATGAATTCAGTAACATTTCTAAAAAAGGGACAAGCAAGGAGTTTCCCCTCTTTTTATTACTGAAATTATCCAAAAGTAGAATGGTTGAAACTACTAGGATTACTGATATATATATAAATAATTTCAAAAGAAATAACAACAGCATTACCCTACTCTTAACTCCTACAATATGCAAGTAATAAAAAGTCAGGCTCAAAAATTTTTTGGTGCTTAACTGTTGGGAGATTTTAAGCCTCTTCCCTCCCATTTTTTATTTCTTCCTGACATCTGGTCACACTGATAAGAAAGCCATGATGCTCTCTCATTTAGAATCAGCTGGAAGTCCAAATAATACAGAAAATATACTTCACCTTGGCCACGCCTCTTTAGATCTATAAAAAATGTAGTCACCTTTCCCTGCTCTCTCAAACCATTTTGGAAGTGTTTGGAAGCCTTCCTGCTCTCCCCAGAAAGCCTCATTATGTAAGTGACAAGCTCTTTCAAATCCCTTTCCTGTGTTACCTGTGGTATCGTGACCCAAAATCCAGTCTGGGGTAGAAGTCTATACAATTTCTGTGGGGTGGCTGTAAAACAGCAGAATATTTGTTTGGTAAAACACAGTTTATAAAATGTAAACTTGCTATGATGTTTAGAGCATTATTTAAGTTACTATGAGTCTATGTTGTTACAAAAAAAAATCAAGAGCTACTGCTTACAATATATTTAAATAAAAAATGAAAGATTCGCTTGCATATTTTGCACAATGAAAAAGCTTATTAAAGAATAGAAATACTAAAAGGTGTACTGTTATATTTTCAAAGTTTACATGACAATTCAAAATTTGTTTTACATAACAAAGATCTTTTTTGTCTGTAGTACTTGGTGGACACTAAGTGGGAAACAGGATAATGACAGTGAAGACCAGGAAATATAATATGATTTTTTTCTACCTTTGAATTTGGATACGTACACTGGTACTATGTTTAATATGGCTTCTCTACACATATATTAATAATGTTCCAAACTGTTTTTTTTTTTCTCAAACTTATTTCTCTTTTGTTGAGAAAGGGACTGTGAATTCTGCCTGTGAGAGAGAGAAGGATGGGGGGAGATTTTAAGGAATTGGTTTATGTGAATATGGGGGCTGCTAAATCCAAAACCTGTAGGGCAGTCAGCAAGCTGGAAACCAAGAAAGGAGGTAATACGCAGTCCTGAGTCTGAAATTCAATGAATCAAACAGGCTGAAACCTCTGGCAGCATTTGATGCCTCAGTCTTGATGTAGACCATCTTCTCTGGGAAACCTGTTTTTTGCTCTTAAAGCCTTCGAGTGATTGGATGAGGGCTACACACATTATCAATGGTCATCTTCTTTACTTAAAGTCAACTGATTATATATCTTAACATACCGTATCAACAAAATACCTTTTGCAGCAATACAAGATTAATTACGGATTACATAATCAGTAGTATTACCAGTACAACCTAGACAAGTTGACACATAAACCATCACAGATGGACTAAGATTAGGTATTACATAATTGTGAAATTGTACATACACTATTGCAAGAGACATTGAGTTTTAACTTGTTGAATAAAGTAAGGCAAAGCAAAGTAACTGGGGCTTTTTTCTTTTCTCTTTGTTTTAAAAATCATAATGAACTTTAAAGATCACCTAAAAACTGTTAACTATATCAAGTATGGGCAAGAATATGGAGCAGAAGGAATGCTATACCCTGTTGGTGGGAATGTAAAATGTTATAATGATTTTGGAAGATAATTTAGTACTATTTGACACATTTAAAAATGTGCAAATCCATGATGTAACAATTTTCACCTCTAGGTAATCCTTGCATATTTACTTACTGTGTTATATTATTATGTTGGCAGACCAAAGGAAATACAGCAAGTATAAGTGGAAAAAATAGATATATTGACATAATAAAATACTATACAGTATGAAGTTGAATGTTGTAGTTTCCTGTATTTATGTGACTGAACTCCACCATCAGATTATTTGCACAATGAACCCATTTATATAAAAATTTCCCCAAAATTACACATAACTTAAGGAATTTAAAAAAATAGTAATTACATCTAAAAGAGAGGATTAGATTTCAATTGATAAATAGTATATAAAAAGTGTAAAAGGTATTGATATATGTTTGTTGAATTTTTTATCCTTATTATGTTTATTACATATTATTTTATGCTTTTTGGTTCAGTAAATATATTGTATAATAATAATCATCAAACATTTAGCATTTAAGTTTACTAAAGGTTTTCAAGGTATGTAAGACGCTAAAGTAGAGTTTGACTGAAAAGGGCTGAACATAATTATATATAGCAATATAATTCTAAAAAGGTTAGATATTTACACAATTGTGTTATGCATATAGTAATAATATTATAGTCATTATGTCAGAATTTTGAGTGATTAACTTCCAGGGCTATGATGATAGATGGCATTGATATTACTTCATTTTCTAAAATTTCAGTTTCTTTTGAATGCATCCTTGCACATATTACTGTTTAAATATTTTTAGTCTATTAATCCATACATCATACCCAATTAAATAAATCTTATATATAAGAAATAATAATAGAGAGAGCTTCTTTCACGAACTAAATGTTTAATCAAAATAGACTAAAAGATACTACTCCAGTAAACAGTTATGTGCTGCTTAATAACAGAGATATATTCTGTGAAATGTATCATTAGGCAATTTCATGATCGTGGAAACATCATGGAATTTACTCACCTGAACTTAGATGGTACCGCGCACTACATACCCAGGCTATGTGCTACAACCTATTGCTCCTAGGCTACGAGCATGTACAGTATGTTACTGTACTGAATACTGCAGACAACTGTAATACAATGGTAAGTACTTGTATATCTAAACAGCAAAAGGCACAGTAAAAATAACATGAAAGATAAAACTTTCCCACCCATATAAAGCACTCACTATGGATGGAGCTTGCAGTTCCTGAAGTTGCTCTGCGTGTCAGGAATGAATGAGAAGTAAATGTGAAGGCCTGAGGCACTACTGTGCACTGTGTAGACTTTATAAACACTGTACATTTATGTGACACTCAATTTGTAAATAGAAACCAAAAAAGTTAAATGTATAAAAAATAACATAATTGTGCTATGACATCACTAGATAACAGGATTTTTCAGCTCCATTATAATCTTATAGGACCACTGTCCTCTATGTGGTCCGTGTTGATGAACATATTGTTATGCCGTGCATGACCGCATTACATGAAGCAATTAAAAAAACCTTGATTTATATAAAAGACTACATACCATTCACATTATGTGAAGAATCAATTTGAACATTATTCGAATTAATTACACTCATGCTATTTACTCTATATTTTTCTCTATTCAAATATTTAATATTCTCATAATCACAATTAGATATATGAATGGAGAGGTAAAAAATGTTTTCGAGGTCAAACTGCTTTACAGCCTACCTTGCGACATATTATAATAAACTCAAATCATGCTTGTTGAATAAGAAAGGTGAGCGATATCCTTACAGTCCTTTTTCAAAGGTTTCAAATGTTCACTTTGTTGGAGATAAAAAAAATGGTCAAATGACAATTTAATGGAAATACTATAAAACCAAGTGGCCTGTTTTAGTATAGATTTTATTACCTTTTGTGGAACTAGGAGTAAAGACAACAGCATGCTATTTAACTATTTCTTCTAAATGTCATAAACTTACATAGATGTTCTCTTTTTTTTTTTGAGACGGAGCCTCGCTCTGTCACTAGGCTGGCATGCAGTGGCACGATCTCGGCTTGCTGCAACCTCTGCCTTCCTGGTTCAAGAGTTTCTCCTGCCTCAGCCTCCCTAGTAGCTGGGATTACAGGTGTAAGCCACTGAGCCCGGCCAACTTACATAGATTTTCTAACAGCCAAGTCTTTAGAAAAATACTGACATCCGGGCTGAGGGGCATATGCAACGTTTTGCTGATTCTTTAAAGCAAGTAGCTGTATTTTGAGATAGGTCATAAAAGACCAGAAATTCCTGAACAATAATGTAGGATAAATTATTCAAAGTCAGTTGATGGCAAAGAAACTGTAACAAAATTGCTTATGACAATCCTACAGTTACGTCATTTGAGTATTGAGACTGAAGTGACTAATTTTGAGTGAAGACTTTTAAATATATTAAAGTAATTTTAGTTATATTTTATTCATTAAGGGATATAAATTGCCAATGGCTATTTTGAGAAAGTCATCACAACTCCACCTTTTTGTTTCACAAGAGCTATGTGGTAGCAGACAAAAGTATATTTTGACTTATGAATGTAGAATAATTTTATGCTTATTCTTGTCAAGTCTAACAGTGTAATCCAATATAAAATGTAAAATATAGGGATCTTATAAAGAACATATTCTAGAAATAAATAGATACAAATAATATGACACATTCCTTTAATAAGATGCTTTTAAACATATGCTTATCTGTATTTTAGAAATATATATTTTAATATATTTCAGGCTCAACCTAAAATATTAAACAAGTCAGATATAAGCTGACTTAACTGGATATGAATATAGTTTTTAAAAATCAAATTGATTTATTTAGCATGCCACATTTTAGAAGTTATAGTTCTATTTTATCAAAAAGAACAAAAAGGTAGTGGGAAATACTTCATTAAAAACTGCAGAAACTATATATTATTTCAGAATTGATTCAAAGCAAGGAAAAACAGGTTTTGTTTTTTTAAGCCCCCCAAAAATGCTGCTAAACACTTTAATAACAGTGTCTTTTAACAGGAGAAAATATTTCTATGAAAGTATCAATAAAATACCTACTAGTTCAAATGGTGTGAAACTGTTATATGAAAAGTTTGCCAAATAAATACACTAATTCAAGAGTAATTCAAGATAATCTAGAATATATCCTAAACTTCACACCATTGTATTTTGGTATTATAAAACTCATTTATGTTGATAGATTGAATTAACACTTACCTTGTTTTTACTGTAAAACACTATATTTTAATCTCCTCTTTCTCTAAATAACATAATCAGGGGAAACAATATGAGATTTCTTATTTCCCAAATCATTAGTTTGTATTTCTTCAATGATAATGGTAGTCAAATTAAAAAGTTGAAGCCCAAAGGAAAATAATTGCCTTTGGGACAAGTTCCAGATTTTAGTGATGAGAAATTTTTGATAATCATTTTAGTATTTTATTCAACAAAGATGAACTGAGCACACCAAAAATCCACACGAATTCTGAGTATGCATAAGTGAATAAAACATACTACTAAATGATACGCAGCTTAGGGGCAAATGATGAAGATAAAATGTAGAAATGTGCAGGGTTTGAATCGCCAGCTGTTAAAGCATTGTTCATTGTGTATTTCTCATATCATCTTTTTTTACTTTTATATTCCAAGGGTCACTTTTATTCTCCCAATGAACATTAAAGTCGAAACAAACATTCAATGAATGCTTCAGTGCAATTCGGAAAGAGTTATTCTTAGCTCTAAAACCTAGAGAAGGAGTGAGAGAAGATGGCAGCAATTAGAAATAAGAAAAATAGGCCCAAGCAATGGGAAGTTTGTGATGATGTTGGAGTTTTAAAGAGACTTTGTAGCAAATGTTCACAATCCAGGAGGAAGTGTGTAGTTGAGAAATACAGCGAATAGCACAGGGCAAAGGATATACAGAAGAGGAAGTCCAAATAGAAAATAATCATAAAAGGTAAATGATAACATATGCAGAGTTTATCTACTAGTTTTGTTTTACTTTGGGTTTTAAGAAATATTCAACAAGCCAGTTCATAATTAATTTTTTATATCAGGAACTATTGTATCAGATTATGATGTAGTCATTTGAAAAAGATTTTTGCATCTTTGTAAGTTATTTTGCTGTTGCAATTTTGAATAAAATCTGTTCTAATAAAGAAAAAAAAAAAATGGGCCCAGCCCCTGTAATCCCAGCACTTTGGAGGTTGAGGGTGAAGAATCGCTTGATGTCAGAAGTTAGAAACAAGCCTGGTAAACATAGTGAGGCTCCAACTTTGTCAAAAAATAAAACAAAATTAACCATCAGCTTTCATCAGGATAATGAAGAACTTAACTCTTTCTGTAACTGGACATAAAAAATTACGAAATCATGAAAATGTATTCTATCCTTTGTAAATTGGACACTTTTAGTGCTTTCAAATATAGGGATTATACTTAAAGGCTGAGGCTCCCTGCTCAGCCTTCCAAAGTGCTGGGATTACAGATGCTGTTGTAAGGATTAAGTATAAGGATTAGATGGAAATATATTTTTTGGGAGGAAGACATACTACTTGGTCATTCAGCCTGAGCCTACACAGGTGTGCACTGCCATGCTGTCTGTCTCCTCTACTCCACTCTCCCATTAGCTATCACTCATAAAACACAAATACCAAGATAAGAAAATAAAGAATTCCAGGCGGCACAGCAGAGCATTAAGCCAAGTACAGGGTTCCCATTGAGGGTGAGGCCCTGTTTAAATTCACATGTTGCAAATCTTTGAGGCTGGTCCTGACAGTAGCTGAGAGTGTCTGAGTCTGGCAAGAAAAAAAGTGGGTTTTACAGATTTGTTTATATTCTCCAACTAAAACCTCATGTGTGGGGGTGTGGGAAGAGTGCAGCAAGGATTCAAAGGATTGGATGTCTCAAATAAGTTGAAGAACAGGCTCATAAGGGTTTAGGGAAAAGAAAAGCCTGAACTGGTTAAAGTTTGTAGTATTTGACTAGAAATCCTACTATGTGAGTCTGATTTAAATGTAATTATTTCCAAGAGAGTATAGCAGAAGGTGAAGTCAAAAAATGGTTTGTGACTAGAGGCAATGCAATACAGCAAAGATGACAACTGGTATTCAGGAACTGTGTGCAGTTGAGGAGGTTCCAGGATGGAGGAGAGGGTGAAGAAGTGATCACTGCGATCAAGGAGACATGCAGAAGGGGCTACCATCAAGATTGCTGAACTGATCTAGCTGGGAACTGGTTAAGGAATAGCAAATAAGACAATTCAGTGGAGTGGTGCCATCTTGGCTCATTGCAACCTCTGCCTCCCAGGCTCAAGCAATTCTCCGGTCTCAGCCAACCAAGTAGCCAGGATGACAGGTGCGTGCCACCATGCCCAGCTATTTTTTGTATTTTAGTAGAGATGGGGTTTCACTATGTTGGCCAGGCTGGTCTCAAACTCCTGACATTGTGATCTGCCCACCTTGGCCTCGCAAAGTGCTGGGATTATAGGTGTAAGCCACTGTGCCTGGCCAAAGGAGCCACATTTCTTTATACATTCAGGAGTAGGTCCAGATGTGAAATTGAGGTTGAGGAAAAAGAACTTATAACCTACTAAAAAATTTTTTGTATAAGATTATAAATGACTAAATGCAGCTACTAGGATGTAAATAAAATCTTTTGGTTCTACAATCTGGAAGATCTGGGACAATTATTAGCCTACATTACAAAGGACAACTAGAGGTGTAATATCTTGGACAGATTTCAAATTTTAATTATGACCAAGAGGTGAAGTGCCAGTGTTGCCAAAGAGTTGCAGGTTTACTAGAGTTTAGTAATAAGTGCTGTATCTTGAAATATCCTACCTATCATTTAGAACCTATGCTATGAAAAGTTTTTCTTTCCTTTCCCTTTTTTTTTTTTTTTTTTTGAGACAGAGTCTCACTCTGTTGCCAGGCTAGAATGTAGTGTCACAATCTTGGCTCACTACAACCTCCACCTC